GATCGTTGGATCATGGATCTCACTCTATGGATCCCAACACGCACAGTCGTATTTGGTTAAATATTTTCGAGATTCTCAGACGTTTCGATGGATCGTGGACTCAAGATCATGGATCGCTGGATCTCACTTTATGGATGTTATACACACAATCATATTCTATTAAATATTTTCGAGATTTTTAGATGGTTTGGCGGATTATAAACTCAAGATCACAGATCGTTGGATCATGGATCTCACTCTATGGATCCCAACACGCACAGTCGTATTTAGTTAAATATTTTCGAGATTCTCAGACGTTTCGATGGATCGTGGACTCAATAGCATGGATCGTTGGATCTTGAATCTCACTTTATGGATGTTATACACACAATCATATTTTATTATATATTTTCGAGATTTTTAGATGGTTTGGCGGATTATGGACTCAAGATCATGGATCGTTGGATCATGGATCTCACTCTATGGATCCCAACACGCACAGTCGTATTTTGTTAAATATTTTCGAGATTCTCAGACGTTTCGATGGATCGTGGACTCAATAGCATGGATCGTTGGATCTTGAATCTCACTTTATGGATGTTATACACACAATCATATTTTATTATATATTTTCGAGATTTTTAGATGGTTTGGCGGATTATGGACTCAAGATCATGGATCGTTGGATCATGGATCTCATTCTATGGATCCCAACACGCACAGTCGTATTTGGTTAAATATTTTCGAGATTCTCAGACGTTTCGATGGATCGTGGACTCAAGATCATGGATCGTTGGATCATGGATCTCACTCTGTGAATCCCAAACACGCACAGTCGTATTTGGTTAAATATTTTCGAGATTCTCAGACGTTTCGATGGATCGTGGACTCAATATCATGGATCGTTAGATCTCACTTTATGGATCCCATACGCGCAATCGTTTTTTCGTTAAGTAATTTTTGCAGATTGTCAGACGTTTCTGATTCCACTCCACCAAATTTACAGCACCAGATAAAAATTGCCAGTTGTTCAATCGTCAGTTTCGCTGCTATCGGTTCGTCTCGACGCTCCAGCCATTTAATAAGCCTCGAAACAAAAGAAGAGGAGATGTATTCGGCCGGCTGCAGGCCTCACCCCTCTGTGAAGCCTGTCAGCCATCGCTCGAACGGATCCAGACACCGGATTTTCCCCTCCTTATTTCGCGGCCTGATCTCTCCTCGCGCTTTAATATAGCCGCGATTACGCGCCAGCTCGCGACTTTATTAGAGAACCGCGTGAGAGTTTCTTCCAGCACACTCCAAGGCCATTCTTTTATATTCGACGCGCTGTTCTCCCGCGAATTCATATTTTTCGGCTGGGGGAGGGGGAGAAGAAGGATTTCGATGGAATATTTGCTGCGATCGGGGGCTGGCTGGTCCGAGTAAGTTCTACAGTGCGCGAAAGTGTGAAATTTTCGAGTCCTCGAGAACTTAAAGCGACACGTTTTGAAATTGGGAACAGGAATCTTTTGAACTTTCGAGAAATGCAATAAAATTTTGGTTCTGCAAGACGCGGAATCTCGGGAGAGCAATTTTCTTCGTAAAGATTGAAGTCCTGGAAAAATCTGCAGCAGCGACATTCCAGAAGTCGGCGGCGAAATCGTTGGAAGTTGGTATTGTGTATCAAATATTTGAAATTATATTCGAGAATTTTTATGAAACCCCGGCGAATTTTTGGCTTTCCAAAAGCCAAGTATCGACAAGGACATAGATCCACGTAGAAAATTTTTTGTCTTTTTTTTCTAAATCAATCAGAAGTTCCACATTGTTCAGCCGGAAGTAAATTTCATTTGCCACGCGATTAGCGAGCATTGATTTCAATCTGTTAATAGAATTGTTTCCCGGTGGAACTTTCTAATCCCCCGGCCGTTCGTGGAATTTCCGTCATTAAGTCTTTCGACACGAAGGGAAAGGAAAAGAGAAGACGGAGGCGGAAGACTAATTCACGCCTTGAACCGACCGATGCCTGACCACATACGGTTTCTTACCACTTGCTGCTCCTATGACTGACCTACTTGCTAGAACAAACTTCAACACCGGTTTTTGCCTCGATCGAAATTCCCCATTTATCCTCGCCTAGAGCTTACAGAACGCGTTGTTCAACTTTTATTGGAAAACTACCATTTATTCTCGCTCATAGCTCGCAGCACGATATTCTTCCAACTATTATTCCAAATTTTCTTATCGAATTCTTCCAATTGCTTTCGCGATTTTAACGAGAGACTTTAAAGAGATGGTTCAGCGTGAAATATCGATTCACGAATCTGTCATTGAGAAGATTTAAAGTTATAGATTATAAATTGCGCAGACTGTGGGTTGTAGATTCTAGATCAGCGGTTCCCAACCTGTGCTACATAGTTGGAAGTATGCGAAAATAATATTAGTAATATTGCGGGAAACGTCAAGAAAAGGAGTTGAAATAAAAACACAAGAACAAATTTATAAAGTTTCGATTTGGGATGTTTGATTATTTACCTAGTCTAAGAAAATTAAAAAAAAAATCTCTCTTTTTTGAGAGATGGGTGGGGGTTTATGAGAGGAGAGGTTATTCATAAATGAAAAGCTCAGTCAAGGATTACGAGAGAGAAAAAAGATTGTGAACCGCTGTTATAGGTCGTAGACTATGCATTAGAGATTACATCATAGATTCTAAACTATGGATTCTAGTCTTTGGACTACTATAGATTATAAAACGCAAATTGCGCCGCCATTGGATTCACAAACCAAACTTCGCGATTCTGATTCGCTTCTCACAGTGTCCGCGTAATGCTCTTTATATTTAATCGATCAACAAACTCTCGTTCCGAATCTTACAATCTTGCTCGACGAAAATCAAACAGATCAACAGAAAAGGTGACTGACTAACTAAGAAAGAAATCAACGGAGAGAGGAACCGGAGAGATATGTATAATTTTCCCGGTGTGCTCATTTTCACAGCTTTCAGCCAGATAAGGAAATATAACGGGGGACAGGGCACGGGCGATTAAAAGCGATACGTTACGCGGCGCGAACACGGTTGCACGAGTGTCCGAACGAGACGAGACGAGAGGAGAGAAGAGGAGAGGCTGAGTAGAGCAGGGGCCACACATATATTGACATTCCGACGCGTGCACCAGCCGAACCGGAGGATCTCTGTTTAATCCGGCGCAAGCTGTTTATTTATGCGCGCGCGAGTGTCTTCGGTATGCGATGAAAGGATTATCGCGGCATACCGTCATAATTACACGCGGGTGGCTGTGCCGCGACAGACAACGCGGCGTTTATATGTCTGAACGCTTTGTTGCGTTTGTTTGTTGCTGCAGCCCGGAACAACGACGATGATACCTCTCACGGATGAATGCCTCTCCACCGTCTACTTTCGTGTTTCGTTGCTTGTCGGCGGTTTCCTCCTCCCCCCCCCCTCCCTCTCTCTGCCGTCCCACTGTCTGCGAATTTCACTTCTCTCTCTCTTTCTTCCTTTTCCTCGTCTTTTTCATTTTTCTTCCAATCTCTTTCTTTCTTTCTTTTTTTTTTTTTTTTTCTTGCAGCGAGGAGAACGATTCTTTGACTCGTCTGGAAGTATGATAATCCTCAGAGGGGCTGAAGGATCGCTGTAATTGGACCGTTGGACTTTTATGCAGCATTCGAGAATACCAGTGAAAAAGTAGAAAAGTCTCTCTCACTGTGTGTGTGTGTGTTGAGAATTTTATAGGGAATAGAGTATGGTTTGCAACGTATTTCTCTTTCTGGACCTTGGACTCTTATACTTGGAGTTGATGGACTTCGAATAATGGACCCCGTGTTTTGTCGAATAATTCGTGAGAAACTTACCAATCGAGGGTAGCCTTGGCGACGTACTGCACTTGGTTCTCTCTATCGGGATGCTCATGACGATCGTTGAGGGGGACCACAGAGTGACAGACGAGACGAGTCTCCTGTCTATTGACGATCGTCAGGTTGTAAGGTGACGCCTGTAATCGGGACCCTATTGGATCCAGGGCAACCCACAGTTTGTTATCCACCACCCACGATGGGTACGAGCAACGTTCGGTGGAATTTTCTGGAACAAAAAACGACGACGCTTTGTTAGGAAAGTATTTTTGAAAAAGATTCACAATCCTAGACAGCATAATTAATTTCATTTTATGACAGAATATTACAATTTTAAACTCGGTAGATGTTTCGTTCAACGTTTCTTCTAAAAACTTTTCAATAATCCAAACGAAATTGATCAGTTCGACTGTACAGTCGTATTATTCACGTAATATGCAATAGGAAACTATACAAATACATTTTGTAATTGATATTTTTATGATTTTTGTACATCTGCTATGTATATTTCATACGATTTGTTTCACTTCGAATTACAAAAATTCAGATTCACGCGCGGCGGGAGAAGGATTGAAAAGGATAAACGTCAACAAAATCCTGGAATAACATTTCTCCAAATCCCTCATTTAATATCGTCATTACAAAGACGTCGTCGATAATTATCGAAAACGTCAATCGAACAGAAACCCGGCCGACGTCGTGTAAAACTTTCGAATTACATCGAATAATCCGACGACCGAAATAAAACACGATTAGACGTTGAATGACACGATGGACCCTTTATTTCCTCGAAATAACGCAACTCTGTCGCTAACATAGTTATTCCACGGTTATTCTCCAGGCGTGTAATGCAACTAGAAACTCATTCCAAGCTCTTCGAGTTGGCCCGATAAGTCAACTACGCATAAACTTCATTTTCATTCTTTCTTTCTCTCTTTCTGTCTTTGTCATCTCTCTCTCTCTCTCTCTCTTGTTCTCTCTGACATTGAACTGTTAAAAATTTAATCACATGGATTGTCGAGTTCATCATCAGCATCGAATATCAGAATTTTAATTTGCCAGTTTCCTTATTAAGAAACGAGCTACTGCAGCTATTAGAAATATTATCGAATAATTAAAATAAGTTGTTCCATTGGTCCGTTAATTCATTATAGTTGTAAAATATACGAGACATAGTTAAGCGAACGATAGTTGAAACTTTCGCCGACGGAGGATTCTCAAGAGAAGATTGGAGCTTGCAATTATCATGGACATTCTTCTCAGGTTTACGATAAATAATCGAATAAAAAGAATAATTTTTATAAATATATTAATTCAATTACTGCTTTGTATCACGTTGTACTTTCAAAAAAATTTTCCCGAAACTGAAATCATCTCTTCTTCACAATGATTACGTAAAATTTGAGATGCAATTTTTTTTTTTGTTTTTTTTCGTTTAGTACAATCTCCTCAATTTAAAGTTGAATAAATCGGCGAAAGACAATTGTATCTCGAATTTTAGAGAGTCGTTGCAAAGGGCAGGTTCCAATCTTGTAGATCACAGTGGACTTTGCTCTGAAGAAAATCTTTTAACGTCTATGGACTTTTCAAAAGTTTGAATTTCGTAGAAGTATCGGAAAGGGGAGATATGTCCGGTTTTCCACCCGCTGGACGATGCAGAAATATCGCAAAAGAAAATTTGCGATGGATTCTGAGAGTAGAAGCTGCGATATTTCAAATGAGTCGAGCCAGATGGTCGTAAGATTTTTTCTTACAAAGTTGCGGCAGTTCGAAAATGAAGAATTTTTCGGACTTTTAATTTTCTGGAGTGCTGTTACTTTATCTTTGTCCATTATTTTTGTTTCGAAATTGGAGAGAGAGAGAGAGAGAAAAAAAGCAGAAAAACCGGAGAAAGTTGTTAATTAAGACACTTTTTTAGATAAAAGTTTCAAAACTTGTTACATTCGAGCGATAAAACTTAAGAGAGGCATGAATATTACTGAGCTGCAGTGGTGCGAGTCAATGTACGGTCAGACACGGACAGGTGCTCCGTGTAATTTCATATGAATCGCTGTTTATTTCAATGCGGCATAAAGTGACGCAGCTGCGACGTGTCAAATATAAATTCTTCTTTCACTTTCATCAAAGCGTTCCACTTTGCAATGGAAATGGCAAAACAATACGTTACGGCGAGGTTTTTAAACAATCGTAATTTCCTTCGATTTTCACGGATTGAATCCTCTTTTTGCCACGCGAAACTCCGTGTTTTCAGTGTTTCTATAAAATTGCAAACGACTGCATCTTCGGTACTTGCGATAAAAATCGCACAAGTTCACTTTATGACGTGACTTTTGAAAAATTTGTAGTTGTCAGTCATTCTCAACTGTAGATTAATTTGTTGAAAATAATTTCCACAGTGTAAAAACGACAATCATTAAAATACGAGAAATATAAAAATGTAATAGTATAATGCGACAATATATAATATAATAAATAAATAATAATAAATAATAATAAATAATAATAAATATATAATAAAAATAATATAATAAATTTCTATATATAATATATATATATAATAAATAGGTAATAAAAATAATATAATATATATATATATATAATAAATATATAATAAAAATAATATAATAAATTTCTATTAAAAATCTATTCAGATTCCATTCCAATTTATGATCGGAATAAGCTGAGAGAAACGGCGGAAGTGAAGAGAAAAAGAAAGAAAGATAGAAAAGAATGTGCTGGAAGATAGCATGATGGCAGTGTAATGCAATGATTCAACGTAAGCGCGCGTCCTCGTCGCCTACAAACAGTTATCGCGTCGATGGTCGACTGCTCATACCTATCAATCACTGTGCACGAATTAATGGACCGTTAAAAATGCACAGGCGTCGAAGTATGCGGCGTGCGGAAACGCTTCTGTTGAAAAGCGATCGATACCTCGATGAGCACACGCGTTCTCCGAGTGTCTCGACGAATTACCATTAACAATGGTCACGTCTCATTTCGCTTTCTCGTTGCTTATTTCACAAATTTCGCTCTCGGTCTTTCTTCATACTCGGTGACATTTGCACGTTTACGCTATATTATAATCCTACCCTCTGAGACATTTACATTATACATTGTACATTACTAAAATTAAAATAAATATAAAAATATGACTGAGTTTATTATAAGAATTTAGTCTTGGAAGAGGAACAGTAATTTTAAAAATCGAACAACAGCTAATAATAATTATTAATTATAATTTAGGTATTAGCCGAAATAAAGTTAAAGGGTGTATTTGGATGTAATTAATTCGAATTCCAATTCGAAAAATGATACCACGAACAGAAGTAGGTGCATATGATTATGTATAAATAATAATGGTCCATCGTTTCATGACGTTGGTAGTTTTCTTTTCAGCATTTGATCGAACATCGATGAGGACCGATCGTTGATTCTCTCTCTCTCTGTTTCGGAGAGAACGAAATGAATCCCAGGCGAAATAAAAAGAAGAAGGGAAAAAAGCAGATATCTCGAAGGAATCGTAAATACCTTGGAACAATATTGAAACTTGGAAATAACTTGGTGTAACACGTCGGATATATCTGTTGTTTGGAGATTTTTCTTCGCGGTTTTATTTTTTGTTATTTATTGTCACGTTTTGTTTGCTGTGTGTACGGAAAGAGAATAAAAAGAATTTGTGCCTGCGAGAATTTTCTCTTTAAAAAATTTTTCCAACGAAAATTACTAGTCGTTAAATTACAAAAAAAACAACAATTTATATTGCAATATCAATAATTTTTAATTTAAACTTTCAATTTATTATATATCTCCGAAGATCTCGATTATTGCGCGGTTCGATTTTTATGAAAATCGATTTCCTTTTCGGCGTTGATAGTTTGAAATTTTCGAGACGTCGAAGATTTCTTCTCTCGAGGGAAGGAGAAAAATTTCGAAATTTCGAGGGAACGACTCGAGCGTTTAAGCAGCTTAACAATTTTTCCACGCGTCCTGTCGCAACATTGGCCCGAGTGTTTCGTTAACCCGGTTCCCCGGCGCTTCCATTTAAACTTTCCTGAAGGCAGATTAGTCTCCGGGATCTCCAAATCCATTCCCTCAACACTGTCGATGCCCTTTCGCCGCGATTTCGTTCGGCAGAGACGCGAAAATGGCTCGGACGATGCAATACAAATGGCGTTCGACCGGCAGAAAAATAATCGTCGAACAAAATTTCGTTCAGGCACGTTACAACATAATTCCAAATATTCGCATATCTGAGTATAACCAGAAAAGCATCTAATCTGCTTTAGAACTAAAATTCCAATGATTTTTACAAGTCAAACGTTCAGAAGTTGAAATTTTCTGAACGAAAATCTAGAAACCGATTCAACTTCGAAATGTACGTGTAATCGTATTTATCGCATACTCGAAACAATATTCCGGCACGCTGATGTTGAGAAATATAACGTCTGGAAATAAATCCTGGTCAGTGGCAGGATCGCGCAATCAGTCATGTATCCGGTGGAAATCCAACTGAACGCGGTTCACCGCAAAGCCAGCAACAAGATCATCTCCATCTAATACGACTGTCTACTCGTATCCACGATCATAGGCTACGTGCAATAGGGAGGAACGGTGTATTTAAACCGAAATTGGAGCAATGAACCGAACAGATCGACGACGATGATCCTCTCCACAATCTGGCCGGTGATTGATGAATTAAAATGGCAATGAACGGACGGGTTGTACGACCAACAAGAATTCCACTTTACACGGTTTTTACATAGTTTACAAAACATTTTATTCGTCGAGGAAATTCAGAATAATTTGAACAGGAAGAATTTGTCCAACTAACGAATGCGGCTCGTTACAAATTGTCTATTTTCAATAAGACAATTCCGAATCTGAGAAACAAAGACGTGACCCAAGGTCGCGGGATAAAAATTTTAGAAGCGCGGTCTGTCGATTCTCGATTTCCAATGTTTTTCGACGATAGAAAATCAAAATATTAGAAAGATGAGAATCTTTAAAATCCCCCGTGGCTGTTTTATCACAGGGGGCGGATAAAATACGCAGAGTCTATCAAGTTTCGTCAACAGAAAATCAAAACTGGGCCAAAGGTTCGCCAAGGTGTGAAGGAATATCGAAACGGCGAACGAAAAAATTCCAAACGCACGATCCATCGAGCGTGCACGATAACCACGCGTGGAATTCGGTTTCCAGTAGCGCGGATGAGAGACTTTTCGCCGTACGGTGCAAGAATTCGTGGTAAAATTCCACGCCTAGGCCGATCAAAGATTCGCGGTCGTAGGTAAAATCAATCCCAAGAATGTTGAGAGTGGATCGAACGAGGCTGGCGATCGCCTCAATTTGGTTAACCATGGCTGCAGAGGGCAGAATCATCGCAATCTAGGAAGGCTACGTGCAGTTATGCGATACCATGGAATACCCCAAGTAGCTGGCGTCGACCGCTGCGCCACTGTGCCGATAACACGCCGCCCAAGAATCCGATCTGGTGTCCATGGACACCCTCATAGTTTACGTTCTTCGTGCCCCGCTGCTATCGCGGTTTTCCCCGTGCCAAGACGCGTCATCATCAGTTAACGATAATGTCAATGTGCCAACAATTTGCCCGCAGGATCGCTGCTCTTCGGTTGGCAACAGCGTGATAGTCAGTTCAGTTGTGTCACGTGCACGTTGGACGAGAGAGAGAGAGAGAGAGAGAGAGAGAGAGAGAGAGAAATTCGTAAATTTCGGTCGAGCTGAGAGTTGACATTTGGCGATTATTCAAAGGCTTTCTCTCTTGAACTGGTAGCACCCTGATTTAGGATTTTATGTCGATAGCCTAGGGATTTTTTTTTTTTTGCGATAGTTCCAAGAGTTACATATTTGCGAGAAGAGCATTTGGAGATTTTTAATTATTAAAAAGCACGCACGTCCTATTTAGAATACTACTTAATTTGATCGGGATTTCATAGGGAATTTTTTGTACCGATGGTATTAGATAATTACACGTGATTTGGTAAGAAATCCCAATGGTCAAGCTTTCCCAACAGAAATGTTTTTTTGTACGAACAATAATATATGGCAATCGGACGTGCAATAGTGAAATTCTAGGGACATTTCACGAGCCTATATAGTTTCAATTTGGCGACAAGGAATGATCACAAACGAGCCATTTTACAAATACGAAAATATAACAACGATTTCCAGGAACAATTCATTGGAATTGTTTCAATTTCTGCTTCAACAATGAAGAATCCTGTGCTGGAGATCACTTTATAGTCGGGCATAGGGACTTTTGGTGTGCAAGCTTCGTTCGTAAGTACTTACTCTGCTTCATCTTGAACGTTTTGGCAGCCTCCTTGACGCTGATCAAGCCCGTGCAGGAGGCATCCTCGCTCTGCGCCAAATTCCACGAATTGTTCGACGTTTGTTCGTAGATGAAGCATCTGTAGCTGTCCTCGTCGCTGGTTTTTCGCGGCGCGTGCAACCTTGCCACGAGATTGTGCGTGCTGCTCTCTTTCCACGTGGCCAGGCACTCTAGCTCCACGTCTGCCAACAAAGTAGAACACCGCGCTTCTAATTTCACGCTTTAATTAATTATCAATTTTCGGAGCAACCGTAAAGAAACAGACTCTAAAAAGAGCGAGAGACGAAAGTATTCTGGCGTTTCGTAAAAGTTTTCTCCAAGTAAAAAAATTCCATCGATTAATAAAAAAAAAAAAGAAAAAGATCTTCGTCGCTCGCATGAATCTTCTGGCCACCACTAACTTCCTCCCAATTACACCGCGATGCATAACGATTTCAATTACGAGGAAGGCTAAATCGTCCGCGGCGAGAATTATGGACGGAAATATTCTAACCGTTAATAAACCGCACCGCGGCCGCGTAGAATGAATTATACGAGCGCGAGCGTTTTCCCCCGGTATAATAATCGCGGAAAGTCGGTCGAACAAGGGCGGGAGGAGCAGGTGGCAACAAATGGTAATTGACAGGGCCATTAATCATTCGTCAGAAATTCCATTGACCATCGCAGACTCTCGTTCACTGCCGTGTCCTGTTTAATTAACGTCGCGATTGGGTATCACTCGCTTGTTACGAACGTCTAGTCGATAGAGGACTTTTTTCTTTTGAGAAATATTTTTACCTTGGGGAGAGATTTTTTTTTTTATAAAGAAATTGATTTCGTTGCAGGCCCCCAGATTAAATTCCAATTTCGAGGAGTTTACTTAAGATTCACGTTCTACAGTTACAAGTTTAAGTTTTCCATAATTTTACAATTAATCCTATACTTTGAGAATATAATACTCACCAACGCTTTCAGAAGACAGCACGTTGGCGCACGCCTGATAGCGTAAAAGTAACCGTGATTCCTGCGTGCAGGTTTCTGCCGCTGACAACGGCGACTTGCATTCTCCCTCGCCGTGACTGTACGTAAATTCTAGGGGTCCCTTGAACGGACAGGGCATCGGTGCTGCCCCCGTGCGGAACAGGGAAATTAATATGGCGTCGCTCCTCAATTCGCTGCATATATAGGGCAGAGTTGGCTTCGGTGTCTCCGTGATGCAATAAGCTGAAGAGAAACGAAGGAATAACGAAAATTTAGGAAATTTCTCATTTCCTCTCTCCGTTGGCTTTGACGTTTCACTAAATTTTAACGATGATGCAACAACATTGTTCCGAACGGATCAACAGTTTCTACGGACATTTAAAATAAAAATTCAAGAATATAAAATATATGACGTGTAAGACTCACTTTCTTTATACTGAAGAACATTCGGATGCTTCATGTGCATGACGATACAGCGATAGCAATTGTCCTCTCTGTAACAAGGAACGAGAAAAATCGAATAATTGCAATGATCTGGTCAAATGAAGAATGAAAAAAAAAAAAAGAAAAGAGAAAGAAAAGAAAAGATACAAGTCAATCGGCAAACAATTTTCATGAAAGAGGGGAAAAGAAGAGAGAAGAGTTTTCGATAAAAGAGTATATACACGAGATAGCCAGAAACGAAAGTAAACTCGGTTCCCCCCCAGTCAGCAGGAAGCGAAGAAAGATCTAAAGGGGTGGGATACAGGAAGCAAAAAGGGAGAGACAGGAAGAGAAGGAGACTATGGCGCAGAAGGTAGAAGTTGCGGAGCAGAGCTAAGTAAGCAAGGTGGCAACTAGTAGGGACACAAGACAAGCTCGAAAAGTTTTAAGTAGCTACGCGATACTACTTGCCCCCTCTTGGTCCACTCGCCTCTTTTCCACCCTCTATCTAACCGCTGTCTCTATTACGCCTTCAAGTTTGTCTTTTCACCGTGCACAAGTACCTCGGAATTGCGTGCGTTAGTATTTGTACACTTCTACCTCTTTTCCCATTTCTTTTCTTTTTCTGATGATTTTGCCACACGCGCGCGTGTTTGAGGACGATTTCTCGTGTTTGAAAGAAGTTGCTTCTTCTTCCTCCGGACAGAGAATAATATTTAGAAGAACTTGCATTCTATGCGCTTTCGTGAAAAGCGTGGCGTTAGAAGGAATGACGGATAATTCCCGGATGACGTTTATTTAATTCTCAAATAAATTGAAACAAACAAATTGAAAATGAAATTAATTGTGTGAATTGAAATTAAATTAAAAATCTTATTAATTCTCTGGTCCAACTACGATACAATCGTATCAAAAGAACTCCTGGTATTTTCTTTTTTACGAATAGCCTAGTATTCTTAGTATCCCAAGTATTCCCAACATTCCTAGTATATTTCTGAAATACTTGCAAGTAATTCCTACCATTTTCTGTTCCACTCGTCTATCAGTTCATCGACGAGTGCTTGTCATTTAAGCGCGAGATGGTCTCGAAAGCACGAGATCAATGCGAGCTAGCATAAAGGCAGACTCGAAAGACAAATATGTGTGCATGAAGCGCATGCATCGGCGAGTTCAGACGTTTCACAACGGGAATAACTATTCGAACGCAGTTCATGGTTCATAAAAGAGAGAACGGGGACGCCTGTGCGCTGGTCTCTGACGTTTATAAATCGGCTGTTTTCTAAGAATATCGTCTGCAGCTTCGCCGTACCTTTAAGATACACCGGTGGGTGTTTTTCTTGCGTTCGGTTGAACGACATTGCTGGCGGAGCTCTTGGAACGAATATTTTCAAATTCTCCTCCCAAAACGGAGAATTCTGTCGATTGAGTTTGCAAAAATATTCTACCAATTTAAAAAAAAAATGCGTAACGAATGAAATATACTGGCAATATTTTGCAAAAAAAGGTATTCAAAAGTATCAGATTGCTTAAAAAAAAAAAAAAAAATGTTCAAAAATGCAAGTAAAAACCAAAGGACAAAAAAAAAAAAGAAAAAAATGTTCTTTCGTAGAAAATTAAATTTCTGAACCCTTCGGTAATTTTTCACTTTCTAAAGTTAAATCGCCCCCTTCTCCAAGCAAGAAAGAAACAACACACAAGCGACAAAATGAATTGAAAATTCGACGAGGAAAATACAAGACTGACAAATTTCCTTTCTCAAAGATTAGGAATCTTCGCTCGATCAACTTTCCAAAATGAGAGAAGTAGCCCCAACGAAGGGCTGGAGCCGCGGTCTCTTCGAGCCATTTCGCTGGAAGAACAGCCCCCCTCCCCACCGTTTGAAGTTTTCTACGCCGGCACTGTACAAGCAGCTGATCTGCAATTCGAAAGTTGTCCAAGTTTTGTATGCATGTCAACGAAGCCGCGGACACGGTATCCGAGAGGCGGGCCTCGACGCTCGTGATCGCATTTGCAGTAACTGTCGCGCAGCCGGAAGCGAACCGAGCGCCCTCTACTCTTCAGCTCGCAAACCGCAAACAGCTCGGAGTTAAACGCGCCGAACCAAACCGCTTTTGTCGGCCTGTTCCACAACGTTTTCTGGCAACTTTTCTATCCAACCCCTTCCGTGTTTCCTCCGTGTTTTTTAATTTTTTCTCTCTTCCCACCACCCTCCAAACTAACGCGACGTATTTCCTTTTTTTCTTTTTTTCTCCCCCCCCCCCCCTTCTTTTTCTTGCTGGGAAATTTCGATGCTGTTTCGCCGTTTGGTGCTTTTATAAATGGACGCTTGAATTTTCGAGGTGGGGGTGAATCTGGAGTGTAATTTCTAGCGATTGTGTTACAGTCGCGGATGTTTTTTCAACGCCGGGGAACGTTTTATAAGGGCAAAGGTGGCGAGTCTTTCGCGAAAAATTTTCAATACGTTTTTGTTGCTTCTGTAATTGGTCGTTTGAATTTCCGGGTGATACAGTTTGAAATTCTGACGGAAATTCAAACGTGTACAGCGTACTTGTTCTCTTCTGCGAACGGTTGTTTAGATTTTTTACAGAATATTTCTGATAAAATTATCGACGCATGGTTTCGAATGGAATATCTTGGACAATCGCGGTAAACGCTGCGCTAAATGCAGAAAATTAATCTGCCCGGTGAATGAACCGAGCGAAACATTTTGGAAAGTTGGAAAAAAAAAAAAATAAACCAGCGAACGAGATTGAAGTTTGGTAGAAAGGGTCATTGAAATAACAGATTTCGAAAGATTGAAAAGTTTGACCGGGCAAACAATTCGAGAAGTGCAAAAATTCGAAATGCAGAGAGATTTGAAACGACTTTGCGACTTTGGCATCGAAAATTTCAATAGAGAAGTAAACACCAGAACGAACGGGAACACGCAGAGATCTTTGAAGCGAATAATTGCGCTCTGAATGTCTCCATTTTATGTAAAATAAAAGTTACAATAACAAAGAAAGAAAATAACGATGCTAAAATAACACGTTTATCAAATTATTATCCAGCGCTCAGAATTGTCCGCTCTGACGATTAAATTTCTAAAAAAAATTCCCAATTCGAGTTTTCAATTCAAAAGTTTTCTATTAAATATCGATTCGTTTGCTTTTCCGTTTTCTAATTTTTGTCGAACGTCGACGAGCACATTATCCCCGACAATCGGCCGATTCAAAACGTCGGGAAGAAATTCAATTTGAAGGGGCAGGGATCGCTGAAAAATCCAGCTCGTTAGCCCATAAACGCTTTCCGATCTGGCAGCTGCGACGTGCTTTCACGATCGATTCTACAACTTTCGGATTATCGCCACGACAACTCGGACGTTTTATTGTTTCTCGATGATCCGGAGAGTTTCGTGGCGATCCTTTAAAGCTTCGTGCCATCGTTCTGTATAGCTTGAGACGCGACATCCGACCGGCAACTTTTACGAGCTCCGCGATACTACAATGATCATTGTTACTTTCTATTTTTATTTGTTTGCTCCATCGGGAAGTCCATCGAGCAACGCAATCAAGAATAGTGTCGAAATTGTGTTTCATCTGAATGGAGTCTCTCATTGCTCTCTCTCTCTCTCTCTCTCTCTCTCTCTTCTCGTAGAAGTCACGTCGTTTGAACAATAGCGAACATGGTCGAAATAGAATAATTGATTCAACCGTGTTATTCTTCGAACTGAAAAATTTTTAATTAGAGCCCATTGTTTGTTAGATCGTTCGTATCGTCAGTGATAAAATTAATGTGTATTATATGGTCGAGCAACTTTGAAATGCGATTAAGTACAGCAAATATTTAACAGTACAGTAAATATTTCAATGAATTTAAATCGCTCATCAGTTACATATATTATATATACCATTATATTAGAATATTTTCTGTAGGAATGAATAATTCTTTGAATATTTTACATATTAATATTGCATATTATATTTTCTATTTCGCGCTACACTTGAAATATTTATAGCGTTCATTTCCCTTCTGTTTGCAATGATAAGTAATGTTTATCCACATCATTTAACATGGATGGATTACGTAAATATATGTAAAACACTGTATTTATCTATAATTATCTATAATACATACTTCCAACACCACAAAAAGAAGAAAGAAACAAACCAATTTAATTTATCACACAAACCATTCACGTTTCCAAATATATGCCTCAATTTTCGTCACTACGCCTCACCGACGACTCGACACGTCGAAACGGTCGCGAGTTGCCACCTATTGCGCGAGATTCGAGAGTGTAAACGTTACGATCAAGATGGGCGTGGAAACTGAAACAGTTGTAAATCGTAATCTGCTACACGTGAGATTCGGGGATGTAAACGATCCGCGATCAGGAAGGGTTAATCCTCGCGTAGAACGAAACTGGGTCGCCGGACCGAGGTGAAAGGGAGGCGGGACAGGAGGAATTTTATCCATAGGTTATCACGAGAACACGTTCTTCCATCGTGGCGTGAGGCTTGATGAGAATGTTGATTAAATGTTTCAGCCAAGTTTCGCCGGGGAACCACTCCAATTACACGGATCCATCGGCGGACCACCGGTGGCTGGTAAGTGAATCCCGGCGGTCTCGAATCGAAAGTGATACCGTAATTGAAAAAGAAACGAACGTAAGGGCCGTTGGACCCATCACGCGATACCCAATTCGAATTTTAATTTCACGCTCGCCACACGTGTCCCCCCCCCACCGCCCGCCCCTACGTGTGTCGACCGTATCACGTATCTCGCACGTTCGAATTTTCAGACAAATTTCTGTTCCTACGGTGTTCCTGGCTTTTCGTTTGTCGAGACGAGACTTAAAAAAAAAAAAGAAAAAGGAAGAATATCATCTGCTG